ACAAGTAAGACTGCACAATGCTCAGAGGGCTGTAAAGTAGCATTCCAGGAACAGTAGGAGATGAGAGACCTGCAACAATCAGAAGGCTGTTAATTGTGTTTCAGAAGAGTACAGCAATGGCTATGAATTATGACTATGAATTATAAACAACATTTTCGTACAAACAATAATTCTACTCCTGAGTCTTGTTAGAGTTATCGATAAAAAAAATTAAAACCACATCCTATGGTATATCAGATCTTCCCTTATATTGTATTCTAGGTTAGCAAGGTTTGACCATGTTTCCTGAAGTTTCCTTCACTTCATATGCCATTAAATTTTGATCAGCATTATCACTAGTGTAGTTGCATCCCCGTGTTGACACCAGCAGTCAGGAGTAAGCTCATGAAACGTTAAGGACTGCAGTGCAGAGAAGGTCATACCATGATCTGGTGGTTTCTGTCTTAAATTCTATGTCTGACTTGTTCCTGTGGAAAAGAACTCTAAGCAATGCAGCTACCCACAGGCGGAAAGAGCAGGTCTGAGATGAAGGAAGGAACCACAGATGTAGAACAATTTCCAGATTTTTTTTTTTTTTTTTTTTGAGAGGGAAGAAAAGTTACATAGAAATGGACACAGAGTAGGAAACTTAAGGTGCACGGAAGCAGGAAGGTGATAAACCATGCAGAGCCCATCAGAAAATGGGCAGAGCTTCAGTTTGTTATCAAAGATGAGAACAAGCCAGTGAAGGTGTCTGAGAAGTGTTTGGAGATTTCTTTGAATGGTAAGAAGGGCAAGCTGAGTTCCAGAGATGGCATGAAATATGTGATGAGGAGAAGCTGGAACAGGCAAAGGCATCAAGGTGTAAGGCACAACAGGGATTTGTAAGGGGTGTTGTGGGGGAAAGATGTCCCTGAAAAAAGGTTCTGGAGATACTGTGAGGAATAATGGACACAACTGTGTGGTGGCATTGAAATTTAGGGGAGTCAAAGGTTATGTACTCTTAGAACATGAGCATAAGGGACAGGAAAAATACTGAATCTGCCAACAGTTAAAGACAAGAGAAAGAGATGGAATTTCCTTGACACCAAGGGAGTTTCTTTCAATGATACCACTAAACTTTTCAAATGGCTCTGAAAATATTTGTTGAAGCATGACTTATCTTCTTTCAAAAACATTTTTGCATTCCAAGAGATAATACTGTTAGAGCCCTCTGCATGGTTTTCCATTCTGCAAACTTTTTTTGAGGTGACTAATCCCCATGGAATTTCAGGGGATTTGACCATGTAAATACCTTTACTTCCTTTTGAAAACCTGCTACCTCCTGTTAATGGATACGCAAAAAACAAATTCTTAGCTGATTTAGCTCAGATACTGCAATGTATGATGGAAATCTACCAGCCTATCACCCAAAACGTCTGAAAAATGTCTATGATTAGAATAAATAGATGATCGACATCTTAAGATTTTACTTAACATTTTGGGGTTTTTTGTTTTGGTTTGGTTTTTGGTTTTTGTTTTTTTTACTAACTGTACCTGAATTGATCTTTAAATGTTAATTTAGTTAGGAGTAATGTGTATCTCGGATGTTATTTAAACATTTCCTCTACCAAGCCATATTACTCTAAACAATTGGTAAGTGAATCACTTGCAGAGGTCTCTGCAGACTTGAAGATTAATACTGTTTTCTCCAGCATGAGACATTCAAATTCATCCTCTAGAAACCAATAGAGAACACTGACTGCCCTTCTGGGAAAATGCAAACAATTCTGTAAAGTCAGGGGAGGTTTACATTACAATTGTCAGATAAAATTCAGACAAGTGAAATCATAGAAGCCAAAACAAAACAAAAATGGTTTAATTCAGGTGAATGTCAATGCCAAATAAGAAAAAGGCAGTGAAGCTGCAGCTCACGTGGGTGACTTCAACATAACAGAACTGCATATGTACAAGGAATTTAAAATGAGGGAAGAATCTGAATGTGAACAACATGGAAATTAAAATCAAGCAGTACACTGACTAAAAGGCAGGATGGAACATGCAGGCAGCTAGCTGGTAGCAAACATAGCTACAGCAGATGTGATTGCCGTTAGCTCTAAACGCATGTTAAATTAAAGCCAGCATCCGTTCTCACAGAGATTGCCTCAGTCATATTAAAAGAAAGGTTAGTCTAGATATCAAAACTTTTAAAGGCAGTGTTTGGGAGAGGCAGAAAAACCTGATGTCTGATAACCATGGGCAAATGTTCACAGTCCTGGATGGTCATTCTGCAGCTCTGAATGAGTGGTGTTACATTTCACAGTTGGTGAAGGTCCTGCAAGTAGGAGTCAACAAAACCTATTAAGGATGTGAATGTAAGATTAAATTATTTCACTTCTTTCTAGACAATCAAAGCTGAGCAAGGAGTAAAGTAGATGCTGGTGACAAATGCTGAGAAAAGGAAAGCAAAGTCCCAAAGATTTCCAAATAATGACTAGGATTTAACTCTGAGCAGCAGCTACACAAAGAGAAACAGAATTACTACAATAGCAGGCATCATAAAATACTGAGACCTAGAAAAATGAAAGTAGTAAGAAAGAGTAACTCAGTCAAAAAATCCAATCACATAGTTACCAAGGCTGGATGTAGTTTCAGAAAACTGTGGAAAAGGACTTCCCAAATGATGAAGGGGTTACAAATTGTAAAATAGGTGGTAAAAACTATCATCAGGGAAATCACAAACAGAAAAGAAACTGTGTCATCAAATCAGAGTGCTGAGAGCCAAGGAATAAAAAATGAACTGGAAGAAGCATGCCTGGCTCGGACTTCTTAAAAATGTTCCTAGCCACTGATCAGAACTACCTAACAGCCGGGAAACATTACAATCGAAGAGATGAAGTGACCCAAACTGTCAGTATTCGGTATTCTGCTCTTCCCATTGCACGATCAGTTATATAGTACTGGCTATCTAAATTTATTTTAAAAAGCAGTATGCTGAAATAACTGTTTAAAAGACCATCATAGCAAACTTGTTTTAGGGTCATAAATTCTGAAAAGAATGTGTATATCTAAGAGTTTATTTCTTGCTTTGGGACTTGTGAAACATTAAGTTCAATTTTATTTGAGCTGATTTACCCACCTCTATCTTAAGCAATCAAACTATGGTTTTGAACACCCATCTACCTGATTTCTAGAATTTAAAGCAGATTTAAACAAACTTTTATTGAGTAATGATCTTCAAATCATGGACTTTTAGTGTTAGCAGCTCATTTAAATAGCCACACAGTAAAAATGGTTGGGCCACATTGTATTTTAATGACAGTTTTGCCCATGAGAACAGGAAGACCTTGTTTCATCAATAAAATCAGTATTACTGCCATGTATAAATGACAGTCTGAATCCATGTGTACTAAAAAAAGTCCATGGCATTAGAAGAAAAAAGAAAAAAAAAAATTTTGGTCGGGAATTGGAACTGATGAAACAAGAGGCACCCTAAATGTTTAAGAATTGCTCTGGCCAGAGATTCCTTTGATATATGGGCAATTTCAGCTGCTTACCTTTAGATTAAAAATATTAGTAGTGGTGTTCTCAGAAGTCAACACTAGATACTTGAATAATCCTCACAGATGTTAGTACTTTAAATAGGAGAGATACTGTCATTCCTACAAAATAAACACATTGTAGGATGGAAATAAAAAAATCCCTCCAAGATGTTAAAGTGTAAACACAGGCTCTTGCAGCAAGTACGTGGAGTGCTACAGTGAGAAATGAAAAAGTTGGGGAAAGAAGTCTGATTGTAAATTACAAGGAAAAGGGAAGTTGGTAAGTCTGTCCTTTAACCCTGAGGATAAATGTCCTAAATGATGAGATAGTTAGGAATGTAAAGCTGGCAAAGGAGACGAACTACTCAGAGAGTGGAAAGGGAGGACAAGAGAGACCTGAAAACTAAGGCAGGAATTCTGAGTTTTCTTCAGATTCAAGTCAATGAACATCTCTGAAATCTGTAACAAAAAAACTAAAACCTCAAAAACCTCAGTAGTTAAACAAAGGAAAAAACATTAAGTTCACTAATCAAACTGGAAGTCATAAAAACCAAACCAGAAATCAAAAGTGAACTTCACATAGTACTTCAACCATCATAACAGAAAAGAGGATATAGCAGGTAGTAGTTCAACCAATGGAACAGAAAAGGGGACATGGCAAATTTTTCATTATCTTGAATCCTTAAATCATGATGTAATACGCTCGTTTGTTCCCAGTTTCTGGACTGTGGGTGCTGACCCTCCCCTTCCCCCAGTAATCGGGGAGTTGCAAAGTGTTGAAAATTTACTGCACTCTTCCCTACTCTTTGTACACCCTCAGTCTTCAAGGTCAAGTAACTTCCATCAACCCCTCAAAGCTCTCCCAGATTATACAGACTTACTCTCACAAATAATTCTTAAACTATTTTATAATAAATTGTGAAAATCTGACTTAGATGAGAAACTTGAACCTGAGAAACTCTAGGAGGGCTCATCTAGTTCTGGTCACTGTATTTAGTGATAGAACAGTGAAAACAAATACATCGTTATACAGATGAGCTGATAAAAGTCTCTGTTGTTACTGGCTGTGACTGTATGTTTTAAGTAACTATTTGTAATGAAAATGAAGCATGGAACTATTTTAATGAGGAATAACATTCAGTTAGGAGCATATTTTGTACTTGGCTGTTTCTGTAGTATGCTATTACGTCTACCCTGGACAAGTTTTGTGGGTACTGACTGCATTTGCTGCTTCTGTCTTCATTTCTGCCATAAGTTACGTTTCTTGTGCCGTTTGGATTACTTAGTATTAAGATACTGACGCTGAAGTCATACTGTAGATACCACTTTAAGAGCCGTTAGAGATCCAAATAGTAGTTTATTTTAAAAACCTCTTAATTAAATTCACCAATGTATTAAATGTGCATGATAAAGTATTAAATTGTATATATTGCAGCTAAATGTAGCAGGCCTTGTAAAGTTTAAATATCATACCTTAATCCAGACAGTGAAAACTTGTAATTACATTGTGTATCCCGGAAGTTTGTTTATTACAAGTTCACTTATGTCTTTGTATTGATTAGGAACACATAGTTTTCCCAGAAAATCATCCTCTCTGTCTGATATACTGTCTTCCAGAACACTAAGTACAAGATCAGACATGTTAGATGGCAAGTAAGAGCTAACTTGAGTTACTGACTGGCTTTTTCCTGCACAGGTCTGACCCTTTCCTATACTCAGATCAGCATCAGAGCTAACTTGTTTGCTTCTCAGTGTAAATACTTGTTTAATATGCTGATCACCCCTGTTCTCTTCCTTTCTGTTCTGTTGGGCTTCCTGCTTTTCATCTAATAATGCTCCAATGGAGGCATCATTAAGTGAATCTACAGATTCACCACTAGTTCGCTTGCTGGTTTTTAAGTCACGGTTTCTCTTCAAAGACTGAACTGGAGATGAAACTGAAGGAACTGGCAAAAGATATGAAGTACTTTCAGCTCTTTGACTTGTCTTTGAAATGCTGGACTTGCTGGATTCTGGCTCTGTATCTGACCAACCTCTCTTTGAGCTTTCAAGCCACAGAGGTTCAGGACTGCTGTCAAGAGCTTCTGAGTCTCTGTCCATACACTCAGCACTGGTGAAATCTTCTGAATAAACTGTGTTCTCAGGACTAGCAACAAAGTCATCTGAGTATATTAATTTGGAGTAATTTTCAACACTCCTGCTGGGGCTTGGTTTACTATCACTTGCAACAGATGCATCATCATGCTCCGTGGTTTTACGGCGGATTAAGTTTATTGCTTCCTCATTACTTCCCTCTGCATTAGCATCTGATGGGAAAGCTGCTGGGACCTGGGCTTTCGCATACTTTTCCTTGTGAGCAGATTTTAATACAGGTTCATCCACTAAGGGGGCTGTAGTTACTTTGCATGGACATTCCTTGCTTACAATTTCATTGTTCAATAGACTTTCAATAGCCTGTTTCTGCAGGTCAGGGGACGCATCTCCTGTCATGGAAACATACTCTGTGAGAACACTATTTTGTAATGAAGTCTCAACAGTTTTATCAAACTGATTATTCTGCTTTGAACTATGCCCCTTGCTACAATGCCTGCAAGAAACCACATCCTGTTCTCCAGCATTTCTGAGCAGCTTGCTTTTGGATAAAGGGCTTCTCTCCTTCAGGATCTCCATTTGCTTTTTTCTGTACTGCTCTCTCCTTTCATGAATTATCAGCTTATCAGGGTTGGTCTGCTGCAGCCGTAGCCTCAGTGTCTTTGTCAGCCCATACAACAGTTTCCTTCTTGGAGGTCTGTTCTCCTTAGTTTTGCAGTTCCTTTCAGAGCTTGTCTCTCCCTGGGGTACAGCTTGCTTAGGTCCTCTCCCAGCCTGAAGAGACCCTGGGGAGGTGGTCCCTTGTTTGAATTGAGGGCTGGTGGCTCCACTGCTCTCACCAGCCCCCACAGGTGCCTCTGCGGGCTTGAGGGCAGAGAAGCGGCTGGGGCTGGGGGGCGGTGAGGCCATGCCACTGCCCCCCGGGGCCTTGTAGAGCCAGGCCAGAGAGGGGTGGACAGCAGCAGGCGTAGCGCTGTGGGTGAGCACCGACAGCTCTGCTAGCAAGGCACTGAGCAGTGGCAGCTGCCCCAGGGTGCTCTGGAGCTCTCGAGGGCTGGTGTGGTGCAACAGTGAGGGCCCAGCAGCGGGACGTGGGGGGCTCTGGACCTTGTCTCTCTCCTGTGGTCTCCAGGCCTCGACACGCTCCCATTTCCCTGCAGCCGCTGCTGCTCCTGTCGGCAGATGAGGCTCAGCAGGTTCGTGGCTGTAGTAGAGCACAGGAGGGCAAAAGATGTTGCCCTCCAGCTCCTCA